ACACATAAATGTTTGAGGTGATGCACGTCCCTGTCACCCTGATTTGATCATAGCACATTGTAAACATGTGTCCAAATATCACATGTGCCCCCAGGAATATGTACAACTGTGATACATCCATTAAAAACACACAGAATAGATGTGCTCAAAAACATGAAAATGATGAGGCTCGTCTTCAAAGGAGATTTCTGGGAGCCATAACTTAGGCAGACCCCACTACAAAATTAGTCACAAGGGAATCTCAGGGGATCAGAGGTTACAAATACTCAAATGATCATTTCAGACTCTCTGCAAATTTTATAAACATCCATCTCAAATATTAGAACACCAGAATAGTGTAAATTATGTTACTTCATACCAAATTTAGATAGAATTGGAATGATAGAAAAAATAAAAGAGCCAAGTATGTTAATCAAATTTCTTTGTACATCAAAGGCAAGGGTTCTAGCAGGTTCTCTGTGAATTTGCATTCGGATGAGAATTAGTCCTTAGTGTAGCTCCTGCAAGTGTCTAAACTATGGCGAAAGTAGAGACTGGAAGAGAATAAATTGAATTTTCACTTCAACTTCTTTGCAATTATAGAAAGCTATTTACATTATAGGTATCAGATAGGATCATTCTCAGTCACTGAACAGCAAAATTCTCCTGCCATTAGCAGGCATGTCATTAGCTACACTCTTTGACATTCATTATCTCTCCCTAGCAATATTCAATTTATTCCCTTTATAATAACTCTCCACTACATTAAATCAATACCAAGATATTGCCCATATATTCATGTTGTGTTAAAGAGTATAAATTGAAGTACTTTGTATTAACAGTTGAGTTGAATTCCACTTTAAGAGAAATGTGAAAATTGGGGATTAAACTTCAAATTTTAAAAAACTGATAGACTTTAATTACAGTTTGAGGAAGAATAGAGTTGGCAAAATAAATTCATCTATTCATCCACTTCTATATATTTCTGCAGCAACCACTTGCTTAAAATAGTCCCTTTAAATATCTTCATTAATTACCCAGGTTTTAGAATACAAAAGAAATAGAAATTCAACATTTCAAAAGCAAAGATGATTCCTCCCCTCATCGTCAGCGAGACCAAGGCTGCAGAACACGTTCATTCTGGGGGCATCGGCGCGCGGAGGAAGGATGAAGGGCTTTCACCATCACCCCTTTCAAGAAACCGCTCAAGGGCACCTGTAGTCCCAGCTACTCGGGAGGCCGAGGCAGGAGAATGGTGGGAACCTGGGAGGCGGAGCTTGCAGTGAGCTGAGATCTGGCCACTGCACTCCAGCCTGGGCGACAGAGCGAGACTCTGTCTCAAAAAAAAAAAAAAAAACCGCTCAAGCCCCAACGCCTCCAGCTGCATCTCGACCGCAGCGGCCCCTCCACTCCCCTCACCCCAACTCAGAGCCCTGCCAGCTCCATCCTAGGCCACATGGGCAGGGGCTCCAGCCTCCCTTCTCCAGTCCTCCCCTCCCTTCTCTGTTCCCAGCCTGGCTGGCAAATCAGCTCCATGGAAGAGCAGCCTGTCTTGAAGTGGATTTGTGAGCAGCACGAGGCCCCGGTGTTAAGATGCCCGACAGACAACCTTCCATTCTTTTCTTCTTTTCAAGACTGAAATGATGCCAAAGTGTTATCCGAGTTATTTGCTTTTATTAAAGTTATGCTTTCTTCATCTTTTTCATACCCTAGAAACAATGGAGAATTAGATGGTATTCAGGAACTATTGTCACCTTCGCGGGGGTGACAGTGGCCCTGGTTCTACAAGGTGGTCGCAGGTAAAGGGCTCAGGAAGAGATACCACAGGACAACACTAACAGCCGTCTCCACGGAACGGGGAGGGAGCTGTGGGTTCCACTTTTCTTCCCCATTTTCTGCATGTGTGAAAAGCTTCATAATAAAACTGTGGGGAGCAAAACAATCTTCACTTTAGAAAAATAAGACAAGACAGAAAAGGATGTTTTTAAGTCCATTATCCCACCCAGGACAAAACATGTGGCACAGAATGCCAGACCTTCCTGTTCTGAAAAAGGAGGGACACACCGCACACCCTGCTGTGTGGTCGACTCCCGGGTCACAGCGTGTCATAAGCCCTCTCAAATCAAAGTGATCTTTGCAACGTCATTTTCGCCTGGCTCATAGCATTTTATTACATGAACATTAAGGCCCTTTGTGCCCATGACATGTGGTTCTTCTTCCCTAAAGCAGCGCCCTAGCTTGGGCGGCAGGATGCCAGGGTCTCTGATGCCAGTTTCTGGATCGTGTGGAATGAATCTCACCAGTAACTGTCTCTGGGACTGACTGTTAAGGAATGTTTGGGGAAAGAGCTGTTGTGGAAGAACCTCCACGGGGGTTGAGTTCACTTCCCTGGACCTCGGTTTCGACTTCTGGAAATGCTGTCTAGGCTTCCACAGTCAGGTGTGCCCTGGGAGCCAGCGGGGGCATCTCCTAAATGCTCGAAAGAAACGGACTCTCTGGCCCACCCAGACCCCATGAGTCAGGCCATGCCTGGCACAAGATCCCCAGGCGAGGCACAGGTGGGTCTGCAAAGTCCCCTGAGCTCCAGGCACCTGCACGTCTCTAGGCAAAACCTTGAGCACATCAGTATTCCCTCGCGAAGTACGTAAAACCACAGATGTAAGTGGGGATGGATCTCTCGCCTCTGCGTTCAAGGGGGCAAATCTCCAGGATAAATGCCCCCTTTTCCTTCCAGTGAAAGCAGGAGAAAGGGCTGGGCTCGTTAAACCAGCAGCACTTTCAGTTTTAGGGTGTGTCGTGTAGGTTAGTGATTTGTGCGCTGCAGAGAATCTCCAAGGAGAATAAAAAGAGCAGGTGGAAGAATCAGCTTGGCCGGAAGAAGCGGAAGATGCCTCCTGAGCAAGCTCAGGAAAGACGGCCCCACCTTGAAGCGCCCGTGCTGAAGGCCATGACGGGGAGACTTGGTGTGAACTGAGAGGCGAGGAGATGCTTATATCATCTGCCCCCTGCCTGGTGGGCAGCCTGGCCCCAAGTGCTGACCTGGGTACAGAAAAGCCACATACGTGTACTGGGCACGCTCTATGGAATGACGTTGAATTGTTGCTCCAGTAAATAAAACCTAGCAGAGATCCATGGGCCCGGGGTGCACTGGTAAGAAATGGGTTCCAGTGGATTCCTGTGTGCTTTTGAAGATCATGGTGAGCTAGGATCTACCAAAGCTATTATTTACAAAGTGGGGACCAGGCTGACAGCAGACGCAAAAGTGGGTGTGAACACGGGAGGAGGGAAATGAGGAAGCTCGGAAGGCTCGGAGACAGACTCCTTGAACAGAGTATTTTTTTTGACTAGTCTAAACGCAAAAGTAGCTGCACCTATTTTTCTTGGTTAAATTATTTCCACTGATAGAATTATATTATGGCCAGTCGTGGTAGTTCACGCCTGTAATCCCGGCACTTTCAGCGGCCAGGATGGAAGGGTGGCTTGAGCTAAGGAATTGGAGAGTGTAGTGAGCTACCTGCCACTGCACTCCAGCCTGGGTAGCAGAGCAAGACCGTCTCTAAAACACACACACACACACGAGCCAGGTGCGGTGGCTCACGCCTGTAATCCCAGCACTTTGGGAGGCCAAGGCAGGCTGATCACTGGAGGTCAGGAATTCAAGACCTGCCTGGCCAACATGGTGAAACTCTGTCTGTACTAAAAATACAAAAATTAGCCGGGTTTGGTGGCAAGCGCCTGTAATCCCAGCTACTCCGGAGGCTGAGGCAGGAGAATCGCTTGAATTCGGGAGGTGAAGGCTGCAATGAGCCAAGATCACGCCACTGCACTGCAGCCTAGGTGACAGAGTGAGACTCCATCTCAAAATAAATAAATAAAAATAAACACACACACATACAGTATATTCTTTTTAAAAATCTTACGGCTGGGCACAACAGCTCACACCTGTAATCCCAGCACTTTGGGAGGCTGAGATGGGCAGATCACTTGAGGTCGGGAGTTCGAGACCAGCCTGACCAACATGGAGAAACCTTGTCTATACTAAAAATACAAAATTAGCCAGGCGTGGTGGTGCACACCTGTAATCCCAGCTGCTGGGGAGGCTGAGGCCGGAAAATTGCTTGAACCTGGGAGGCGGAAGTTGCAGTGAGCCAAGGTCACACCGCTGCACTCCAGCCTGGGAGATAAAGTGAGACCCTGTCTCCAAAAAAAAAGAAAAAATTACTATTTGATTAACCAAATAAAGTCACTGCAATTAGGAACCATTTGTAGATTAATTCTTCCTACCTCACTAAACTGTGGTCTGCTGACTCAGCACTTCAGAAGTGTAGCGTGCGCATTACACGTTTACTGGGTACCTGGATTGGTGAGTTTAGTAGCTGTGAGCATATTCAGAAACTCGTGACCCTTTTGCCATCTTCAGGAGAGGAGCCACGTCTTAGCTGCTACGACCTTCCTTGTGTGGCCTCTGTCCACACAGCCTCTTCCTACATAACACACACCTCACAGCACTGCCAGGAGATAGCGGCCCACAGTCCACTAGAAATTATTTAATCAAATCCAATGAGAGAACACATATGGATGTGTTTGTTTTCTAAAAATGAAGGAATTCGCACCTAACCGAGTTCACTAACACGTCACGGAGTCCAGAAAACAGGAAGAACTCAGTGTTGCTTTTACTCACACGTGTTCTTGTGTCTTCCAGCTCATCCAAACAGCAGCACTGAAATAATCTCGATGCCAAAATAAGGAAAACTCCCTGAGGTATAGGCCGCCTTTTAAACTAAGTTTCTCCCAATACCCAAGGAGAATGTCCCCGCGGTGACGTCTGGTCGTCTCTGGATTTCCTTCGTGAGCTGGGGACGGAGCAGGCGGAGGCCCGACTCACCGGCGAACGCACTCGGCACGATGAAGTCCTCGGAGTTTCCTCTCCGGCCGGACCCGCTCCCTTGGTGTGATGTTTCTGCTTTTGTTTAATCGACCCAGTTTTGAAGCTGTTGTTTTTTTGTTTTTGTTCTAAACAGTTCTCGGGAAAATCAGGAGTGCCGTTGGGAGTGCCCAGCTTCTCATGTCCCAGAAATTCCAGCAGTTTTATTGGCTTTGCCAACAGAATATGGTAAGTGGATCCTCAGAGAACCCCTGTTCCCTGTAACCAAGTTAATGGGCGTCGTTCCCTAGATCCTCACTGTTTTCTTCCTTGTCAAAGAGTTCCTATCGGTATGCAGCATATCACACGCATTACACAGAAGACTTCCCGCCCTGGGGACAGAGACAATAGGCCCTGGTTTAAACACGATACCGAGGCAGGGAGGCTGATACGGGCCTGGTTTAAACGTGGTACCGAGGCAGGGAGGCTGATACGGGCCTGGTTTAAACACGATACCGAGGCAGGGAGGCTGAGACGGGCCTGGTTTAAACACGATACCGAGGCAGGGAGGTTGATACGGCCCTGGTTTAAACCTGGTACCGAGGCAGGGAGGCATATACGGCCCTGGTTTAAACGTGGTACCGAGGCAGGGAGGCTGATACGGGCCTGGTTTAAACGTGGTACCGAGGTAGGGAGGCTGCAAGGGGGAGTGGGGGCAGGAAGAGGGGGGCTACAGCAGCACGGGGCAACGCTGTGTCTTTGCAACTGGGTGTCCCACCAGAGCATCTTAGAAGAGGAGAAATAACAGAAATCTCTATTATGGCTAATGTCACAAATGAAGAAAATGATCTGAGGTGCCTGGAAATAAAAACACGTAAACAATTACAATGAAGAGATTAAGAGGATATTTTGCAAATAATTTATCATTTGTATTTTATAGTCGGTAGTGAAACAAATACACCATGAACTAGATGTATTAATACAGTTGATGTTAAACTTGGTTATTCCTGACAAAGAGAAAGAAAAACCACATATATATTTACATATACTTAGATATATACCTGTTAATATATGCTTATATGTGCTTATATATAAATATATATACACATGTTAATATATAAATATGTATTTGCTATTTCTGGCAGAGCAGAAAAGCTCATATATACATCTCATATATATTAGATTTATACATGATTATAATCATGTATGCATCTATATGTTTTTATATATACCTATATAAACATATATAGGTGTAGTGATATATAAACATAAATATTAACATGTATATGAAGGTTTACTTATGTATCCTTATATATACATGTTAAACATTAACATATAATATATAGCATATTAACTATATATTTTATATATACAAATATATAGTATATATAAAATACACATAGTATGTGCGTAGGCAAATATATAGTATACATAAAACATATGTAAATTTACTTGGTAATATATTTTATATATATTATATATTTGCCTACACACATACATATACACTTTATATACACTATATATGTAAGTTTACATATATATGTTAACATATTTTATATATACTATATATTTGCCTACACACATACATGTATACTTTTCCTTAGCTGACTAAAGTATTCACTATTTTGAGAAATAGCTAAATAATATTTATGCTACTTAATAGGTTGTTTTATAATATACACATCGATTTTTTTTCAGACCAAACATTTTCAGTCAAATGCAAATAGGTCTCCTCTAGGCCTCGCATAGCAATGGTGCCAGGTGTTTTGATTGTTTTCCCTGGCTTTTTCACACGCAAGGAGACATATTATTCTTACATATCAAAGGATGCACAAGCAAGCCAGAGTTGCCATCTCATGTCTTTTCATTAGGATCATTAAAAAGTGTGCCTTCTCTAACACTTTCCAATCAACCCCATTGAAGTTCACAGCAAATTTAAAGAGTTATCAACACATCACTCTGACAAAGTTATAATCATCATTTAAAAGGGGGAAACAGAAAGGTTTGGAGTGCCTTGAAAGAAGCTGCTAACTGTGTAAACACTGAGCTGTCGTGTCGCCTGTGAACGTCCTTGCCTCCTCTGTAGTATCTATTTAATTGTTACCTTTAAAGGAATTCATTCGGACCACTGATGAACTCTGTGTAATATCATGCAGACTCGGGTGAGTCTAGGCAGGCGCTGTCTTTAGGTAAACGCTCGTCCAAAGCTTCCCACACACAGCCCAAGGTGCATATTCAGGCTTGCTACATGTTCCTTTCTGCTCTGCCAGAAATAGCTAATATTTGGCTTAAAATTGTTCATTCTAATATTTGTTATGCCTTTTGAGTTTTGAAATAGCTGGCTTGGCTACATCCTTTTCTTTCGACTTCTATTCAGGATTAGTACAAAAACACTGTGACACGTTTGCTGGGGAAGAGTGGTGTGGGGAGGGGGTGGTGCCTGAGACAGGCCTGGCATGAGAGGAGCGCTGATATGGCAAGACATGCTTTGCTCATCAAAGCCAAATGGTCCACAGCACGAAGTAGCACCACTGTCTGCTGGAAGTTGTTGGTGGGTAACTAAGCTTTAAGTCAAAGAGTGACCCTAGAAAATGTCAGAACCCCACCCCGAGATTGAGGACGGACCACAGGGAGCGGAGCCTCTCAGGGTCGGGTTGTACGGGTGGCTTGTGACGCAACCAGAAGGCACATAATACCGGAAAGAACTTTCCCTCAAAGCGTGCGGCCTGATTGCTGTGCTTCTGGGACCAGCAGTTTGGCATCCCCAGAAAGGTTGTTACAAACTCAGTCTCATTCAGACCCACTGAGCCTGCCTCTGAATTTTAACTCCATCCAACCCCAGAGGTGTGTGCGTCTGAGCAGGTGCCAGCGCACAGAGAGCTGCCCCAGGCCACACGGGGCACCGAAGTTCCTATCCAATGGACCAGATGCCAGAGCCACAGGGCTGTGTGAATTTAAAACAGTGGCAATTTCACAGGAACGAGGCCCTGCATGACTTTGCTGGTGTAAAGGGAATGGCATGGCACAACCATTGACTTTTTTATTATAAACACCTTATTGTCTCTGAATGTCCAGTGGATTCGGGTGCAACCGCCTCCCCGACCAAAAGAAAACAGAAGACAAAGCCAAATCCTGATCATGCCAGGCTGTGCCCGTCCGGCCCCAGTGTGGTCTGGGTGAGCCCAAAGGATGGGCATGTTGTTGCCAAGGAGAGGGGCATGGAAAGGCGATGCCTGCTCTCAGACCAGGGAGCCTCCGCCACAGTGGCCGGCCATGTTCCTCCTGCGTCCCCTGGGAGATGTGACCAGGACCACTCAGCTGCGGGCGAGGGAGGAGAAGCCGCTCCGCTTCCCCCCACACCATCAGGCAGAGCCATGCCCAGCCCTCCAGAAAGAGGGGGCACAGCCATGCCCAGCCCTCCAGAAAGAGGGGGCACAGCCATGCCCAGCCCTCCAGAAAGAGGGGGCACAGCCATGCCCAGCCCTCCAGAAAGAGGGGGCACAGCCATGCCCAGCCCTCCAGAAAGAGGGGGCACAGCCATGCCCAGCCCTCCAGAAAGAGGGGGCACAGCCATGCCCAGCCCTCCAGAAAGAGGGGGCACAGCCATGCCCAGCCCTCCAGAAAGAGGGGGCACAGCCATGCCCAGCCCTCCAGAAAGGGGACATTGTTAGGTTGGCGACGACTTCTGGAAGCCAGGCAGGCACCACCCCTACAGCCCCTGAGCAGCCTCCCTGCTGCTGCTCACCCGGCCCGGCCTGCCCTGAGGCTGCAGCTCCTGGCGTCCCTCGACTGACTTCGGTGCAGAACGTGGCCTCCTTGCCAGGCACTTTGGTTGTCCCCACCCACAGAGGCTGAGTTCGGGCTCCCGGCCGGCGGCCAGTGCCGCCCTCCCCGTGCTCCTGGGGGACGCCTCAATGGCCTGGTGGGGCTCTGAGCGGCCAAGGCTGCCCTCGTGTGGCTGCAGAGAAGAACGGGCTCAGCCAAGCAGAGGGCAGCTGGGGACGCCAGGTCCTGGCTCTGGATGAGGAATCGCAGAGCTGTCCGTTCAGCGTGCTCTTCACTGAGCGTGCCCAGTGTGCACTGCTGAAACCGGAAGCAAATCCAGTTGAATGTCGACCCACCAGAAACTCCTCTGACTCTGCTGAACCCCCACTGAATCAAGGGAACCATGCCTGGAAAAGTCATTCGGATTTCAATGTAGGGAGCAAGCCAGGCGCGGTGGCTCATGCCTGCATCCCAGCACTTTGGGAGGCTGAGGCGGGCGGATCACCTGAGGTCAGGAGTTCGAGACCACCCTGGGCAACATAGCCAGACCCCATTGCTACAAAATTAAAGAAATTAGCTGGGTGTCGTGGCCTATGCCTGTGGTCCCAGCTCCTTGGGAGGCTGAGCAGGCAGGATCTCTTGAGCCCAGGAGGTCAAGGCTGCAGTGAGCCATGATCACACCTGCGCTCCAGCCTGGGCAACACAGCAACACCCTGTCTCAAAAATAAATACATAAATGTAGGCAGCTGGTGGAAATCATGTATCTATCAGGCACTGTGCAGAGAAACCAAGCACATCTCTGGGTCCCACTTGGCCAGGGCTGCAGCCCAGCAGCATCACCTGTGCCTCCTAAGTGTGGGCGCCGGTTGGTGAGAGCGTCCTGTTCCTTGGCACGTTACATTTGTAAGGTGTCATCCCGTAAGAACGAGAGCTAAGAGCCGTCAGAGAACAAGCAGGTAAAGAACGGGCTCCAAGCTGGTTCCCCACTACCACCACCAGGCCAATACCACGGCAGGCTCACAGAGCCCTGTCCCTTCCGAATCATCCACAGGTGACCAAAAACACAGGGTCCTACTGCTTTTATGAGCTGTGGAGCATTTAGAAACTCTCCCATGTTCCCCATCCCCAGCATTTTCAACATGGGACAATGAACGGCTGTGCTACGTGTTTTTAAGCCATCAGCAAATACTTGTGCTAAAGTAAACTGTCATGGAAGCACGGCAGGCCTTCCCAAATGTTTGCCTCAGGGTGGAATTAGCCACGCTTCTCCCTAATCCGCCTCTTGAACGGCGCGCGTGGGGAGGAGCGGCCTCCCCCAGCCCTGCGCCCGCGGGAGACTCTCCTGGCTCTGAACACCCTGTGTGTGTCCCCAGGACCCCAGCGCCATGCCGAGGCCGACGTCGCAGGACCTGGCCGGCTACTGGGACATGCTGCAGCTCTCCATCGAGGACGTCAGCATGAAGTTCGACGAGCTGCAGCGGCTTCGGCTCAATGACTGGAAGATGATGGAGTCCCCGGAAAGAAAGGTAAGGGCGTCTGTGCAGGGCCAGCTCCCCGCAAACCCCCTTTGCCACCGCAGTAACGACCTGCTGCAGGTACCGCACGACAATGGGGTTCTCAGTCTTTTGCTGGCAGCACAGGAGCACGTTTCCCTCTATGTATGTGTGCATGTGTGCGGCATGTGCCCAAAATGGGGCGGAATCGAAGCCTTGGGCATGGGTGGTAAGTCATAGGGCCTTCGCTGCTCTGTCTCTTCTATATAAGCCTTTCAGAGAGACACTAGCCAAGATGACAGGAAAATCTGCAGCCTCATTCCGGACAGGCGTCTCACCTCTGAATTATATTCATCAAACCTGTTCTGATCGTGTAAATATGAAGCTGGTTTCCCACAGGGGAAGTTTTAGCCCTGCTTATGGACTGTCTCCTAGTCAATATACCTTCTAGTACAGCCATGATAGGCAAGGCAACATTTCATACCTTATCGAACAGTTTGATGAATTAATCTTCCTGTAGATCCATCAGCCTCAGCCCTTAAAATAGGCTGAAATTTCCCATTAAATCTGAACCCTGGCATTTCACTTCTTCCATGTTGCTGTCATCAGAAGAACTAGTAGATGGTTCTGAGTCAGCAGCAGACATTGACTTCCTCACACGTTTTAGAGACATCCTGAGGAACCATCATTGGATTTTTCTAGACAAATGTTATCAATTAAAATGATAAAGAAAATCAAGTCAGCATCCTTTGGGGGAAATGGTGTTTGGTATCCAGCAAGGATGCACACCTGGGTCATTAGAACGAGAGCCAAGGCTGATCGTCCTCATCATCAGCTCCTCCCAGAAGGTGTCCTGGCCGCTAGAGGAGTTCCAGGCCAGATGCTATCCATCCAGATTCCCTCTCATCCCAGATGACGGGGGAGCAGGGTGGGAGCACACAGGGTCTGTGTAAGCCATGCATGGGAGAGATGCACATGAGCCACACCTGGGACAGGTCCACGTAAGCCACATGTGGGACAGGTCCACATAAGCCACACGTGGGACTAGGCAGGTCCAAGTAAGCCACGGTTTGGATCTGAGGTGAAGGAAATGATCAGTGATGTTGAGTAAGAAGGCTGTTCAAATGGAACGTACTGAAGTTAGCCCAGGTGCATGCGATGGTTCCATCTAGTTTCCATTCTTTGGTCATTGAGAGTGAATGTGAGCCCATCTACCCAAGCTGCACATAGAGTATGATTCTCAAAATGGAAATGTCTTTGGGAGGCTGGGTTGATCACGAGGTAAGGAGATGGAGACCATCCTGGCTCACATGGTGAAACCCCATCTCTACTAAAAATACAGAAAGTTAGCAGGGCACGGTGGCTCACGCCTGTAATCCCAGCACTTTGGGAGGCCGAGGCGGGCGGATCATGAGGTCAGGAGATGGAGACCATCCCGGCTAACACAGTGAAACCCTGTCTCTACTAAAAATACAAAAAAAGTTAGCCAGTTGTGATGGCGGGTGCCTGTAGTCCCAGCTACTCAGGAGGTTGAGGCAGGAGAATGGCGGGAACCCAGCAGGCAGAGCTTGCAGTGAGCCGAGATTGCGCCACTGCACTCAGCCTGGGTGACAAAGTGAAACTCCATCTCAAAAAAAAAAAAAAAAAAGAAATGGTTTCTTGCTGAGAGCAGAGCACACCAGTCCAAAAAGTGAGCAGAGGCTCCATGCCTGAAGAGGCAGCCCTGCCCCTCCTGAACATGGCATCTTAAAATTCCCTGGGGTGAGACTGGCGGATCACGAGGTCAGGAGATCGAGACCATCCTGGCTAACATGGTGAAACCCCGTCTCTACTAAAAAAATACAAAAATCTAGCCGGGTGAGGTGGCGGCGCCTGTAGTCCCAGCTACTCGGGAGGCTGAGGCAGGAGAATGGCGGGAACCCGGGAGGCGGAGCTTGCAGTGAGCCGAGATCGCGCCACTCACTCCAGCCTGGGAGACAGAGCAAGACTCCGTCTCAAAAAAAAAAAATTTTCCTGGGGTGGGCCCTGCACGGCATCTGCTGGACACTCCTACAGAGCCACACCCGCAGGCTTAGAAGCTCCTTTGAACGGGGAACCCCACAGTAAATACTGATGTGTGCGCCTCACAAGCTCACAGTTCAGGGGACACCAAAGGAGGAAAGGGACCCTCTTCTTTCCTCTCCTCTTGGCGTCCCCTGAACTATGAGGACAGTCATGTGCTGAAACCAGGAATCACTTGTTAAAGTAGCTGAAGGTTTCAGTGAACCCATCGCCCCGGTGTTTTAGATGGACGCCGAGAAGTCAGGTAAGAGCCATTGCTCCCGGCCTAGGTCGTGTAAAATAAGCCAAGGGAAGAAAGTTCCAGACACCAAAGCAGCCTCCGTGCCACAGGCCTCCTCCGCACTCACGCTACTACCTGTCTCCCCCATCTCCAAGCACCTCTGGGCTCCCTGTGGAATGTTTCAGAGGCTGAAGAGAAAAAGACACGAGTGGGGTTTTCGTGCTTTTCTCCCCCAAAATTAGATACCAACTTAGGAAAGTGGTTCTGATGCCTTCTGCCATGCGCCCTTTCCTGGGAAGGAAACAGCTGGCTACAGAGTCCCTGTCATGGCTCCGTCCAGAAGGGGAGACGGGGCAGGCCCCGCTGTCTTTAGGAACGATGTGAACGCACAGTTGTGGACACAGACGTTTTGCGGGGGCAAGTGCAAGCTTTACCCTTTGCATTTGTTGCGTAATTGTGAGATTTATCTTTCTAAAAAGGCATACATGTATTTTAGCGCGACTTATCTGAGAATCTGAGCTAAGGGTCAGGAATACTTACTTGCATCTTTTTACAAAGCAAGCCAGTGAATAGTGGTTTTATAAATATCATCCATGTCAGTGGGATTTGAGGCCAACAAGAGAATTCGGCCAGTGTTTCCCAACACACCCACCCATGTAAGATGGTTTTCATGAACACACTTGGAATCCCAGAGTCTGCGGAAATCCCTGCAGTGTTTAATAGGGATGTCCAGCGATGGTGTCCAAAACCCTCGCAGTGCCGAGCTTGGCGACGCAGGTATCGGCCGATGCTCAGAGGAGATGACACAGGGCTTCGGGAAGTGCAGGAATCAGGCAACAATGTCAGAATAACTCAGTGACTCCAGAGACGCAAGGCGCGAATCTGCAGAATGTATTTCCTGATTCGTGAACCCTGCCCCCAACACCTCTGCCCCCTTTGAATTCAGAGTGTGAGGGAGCTTCTAAAATTACATACTGTGCAGAAGGCAAGCCTGTGGCCTGGGAGTCAGGGACCAGGGGAAACGTGGGAAGGGAATGAAGGATGCTGCCACGGGGGTTGTGGTCGGGAAGGGTGTGGGCCAGACCCCAGGGACACTGAGCTGTTAAGGACCCACCTCCGACCACCTGCCAATGTTGACTTGTGATGCTTTTCAGGAAGAAAGAAAGGTCCCACCTCCAATACCAAAGAAGCCCCCCAAAGGGAAATTTCCCATCACAAGAGAAAAATCCCTGGACCTGCCCGACAGACAACGTCAGGAAGCCCGGAGACGACTCATGGCCGCCAAGCGAGCGGCGTCCTTCCGGCAGAATTCTGCCACCGAGCGCGCGGACAGCATCGAGATCTACATCCCCGAGGCCCAGACCCGGCTCTGAGGATGGAGGCCGGCCACCTTCCCCTTGGTTGTTCCTGCTTTTTCACAAAACGCTTGTACAGTTTGTTGCCTCCCTGGTGGTTTCTGTCATTTCTTCCACTGAACACGCCCTTGCTCTCATGCTCCTTGTACCGTGAACACAGTGGAATGCGGTCAGTGGCCTCAGAGTCCACGGAGCTCGTGGCGAGGACGACTTTTGTTTGTTTTTTTTTAACTGGTGGCCTGGCTCACACTCGGCTCTGAGGGACAGGCGTGGTGAGACCTGACTTCTCCTCCGTGTTCTCAGAGGACGGCGAGAAATGCCTCTGGAGCTGGAACCCAGCTTACATTTTGTTATTTCTATTTTTATAAATTGTGTGATAATTAGAGGTAAGAATAACAAATAACTATAAATGGGTGCATCTCACCACCCCCTAGAGGCATTAGACACCCAAGTGGAAGGTGCTACAACCTGAAGTGCAGGAAGAAAGGCCCATTCCCCTCGCACACCTGAGCTTTTGCTCCCTGAGCACAGGCAGCCCATCCACCCGCTCCGCTCTCCTGCTCCTGTTTGTCACAGGTAGAAAACATTAGGCTCCTTGTGTCCAGCTTACTGTGAGGGAAAGTTCTCTCTCCAGCCACCAAACTCCCCACCATACAGTTCTCCAGCATCCCAGGGGATGACAAATCTGAACCCACTAAAATACCCAGCACAGCATCTACACGTTGAAAAGATAAGCCGAGTGTTCCCACGAGGAAGTCACAGGCAGAGAGGAGAGTCTTACGGAGGGCTGGGAGCATAAAGGGGAAACAATGTCCTTACTTCTATGAAATAGTTATTGTATTTTTTATTTCTTTGTAACTTAAAATACGACACCCAGTATTTTCTTTAAGTTTCACCATTTACGCTACATGTGATTTTTTTAATGTATGTATATATATTCTCAAATTGTTCTATCAGCTGACTTTCCAGGGTATCCTTAAAAAAAAAAACCACGAAAAAAAAAAAACACAAAAAGTTTGCTTGTTTAAAATGACAATTGTGATGTTGTAAAAAGTTTCAGAAATATGAATGTGAGTGGTAAGTATATCTCAGTTTAAATGGTAAAGAAGAAATGTAGTTTACATTTGTATTTTTCCAGAATTATTTTGTCCAATGCAGTATTGCTTAAGTCAAGAATATATTCCTTGCCTGTGTTAGACCTGAAGGGAAAAAGAGGTCACATATTGTGATTTCCAGCTGTGGAATTCAAAAAAAAAAAAATAGTGTTCATGACTCTGTGGTCGGTGCCAGAGGAAAATAGGAACGACTAATAGGCTCTCCGTGTGTATCATTAAATTCAGCTGCCATGACCATTGTTCCAACACGACTTGTTTCACAGTTCAGACCAGTCTTCGAAGGAAAAGCCTATCAGATTTTCCCACTGGGTTCCAGTTTCAGAGTCCTCGTTATTACTCAGAGTAAAAGCAGGACTGCGATGTAAGATGTTTCCACCCCAGTACCTGGTCTTCCTTCCCGGCTTAAGGAGTACCATGTACTTAGCCACAGGCAGAACCGCTTTCGAGGACGACCCATAGCACTTTGTTTCTTCACCTTGATTTGCACTTTACAGCGTCCCCGGCCCCTCTGCAGCCCGTGGCTGGCAGGGCGTTCGAGGCGCAGCTGTCCGGCAGAGCGCCCTCCAGAGCCGCGGGGTCTCCCTGCCTCATTCGCCACATCCCACGGAGCATGGGACCATTGGGAGCAGAGCTGATACTAAAGCATGTTTAGCTTCGAAGTTTTACTTTTTTAAAGCTGAGTAGTTAAGAATTCCCTGTAACAACAAAACCCTGTAAATTGAGCCTCGTATCTGGTATATATTTTACCAAACAGCCTTAAAATATATTTGGAAGCAAAAATCAGTACGAATGTATCTCCTTGAAAAATGCAAAAAAAAAAAAAAAAATTCCCTGAAATATTCTTCTATAAATGAATCCTATTTCCCCAGGGTGTTCAAAGCATTTTTCTACCTAAATACCTAAATTTTGAGTAGTGTACAGTAATGCTTCTTCCTATATCCACTCTATTATGTTAAAACAAATATATTTGCGAGTATTGGCATTTTAGACTTTAAAAATGCTGTATGATTTCAGATGAACTCTGCTGTTTAGAAATAACCACAGTAAAGCAAAGTCAGTGTGCACTCCGAGTGAAAGGAAATGTAATGTGGATACAGGCCCGCCACCTCCTCACGTTGGTCTATCTACTGGCAGCTGATATGTTTCACTCATTTCCTTGAGCTGATACAAACATGTATAAAAACAAACTGTTAAAGTAGACAATAATTATTCGTCTCAGATCCCAGATTCTATGATCCCTGCTTAAAATGTTCACTGGATGTAGGTTGATTTCTTACGTTGTGTAGACTCATTATTTTTCAATCCCCAAAAGTCTTGGCCTAAACCATCCCTAGGTGAGCAGACCAACCTACCACTACATTGCACAGGGGTTGGTGACTCGACGTGGTGAATGTGGACACGCCCTGCTCGGTCCGCCATGTTCCAAAGAAGATGATTTAATGGTAGAACGGATACCTGCTGCTAGACCTGATGGAATGTTACCTGTCCGTGTTACATAATCAAGTGCAATATACTCAGTTCTCATGCAGGTGACATTCTACCATGAAACGCAGAAGATAAGCCATGTTTATGTATTGTACATGTCAAGAAAAATAAAACTGTTTATGATACTTGTGTTAGTTACTCGAGCTAGCTTATTTCAGCCACTTCTAGCAGATACATACCATGGAGCTCACGTGTGACCATTTCATCATATTTAAAATATAATTTTAAGAAAAGAGTAAACATCCATTGGAGAACATGGCTGAAAATTATTGTGATGTTCGCTCTAACCCCATACCCACATTCTCTAATGATACAGCCAATGACGGGTGAAACCCAGACACTTTCCGTATAGCTGACAGGTTGATCCTGCTCTGTTGAAGGCTGTAGTTAATAAAACACAAGTATGATAAACAGGACCTCGCATTTAGCCCAGGAAAGGAGAATGCTGCTTGTTACCCAGAGTGCTTTTCTTGTGATGCGTCTCATGCATCTTCACGTGTTATTGTGTTTGAAGTAAAACTAGCTGTTCTCAATGACAATTTTTACCATATTTTTCTCAGCAAATTTATATCACCATCTTAGAATGGTATATAAAAAATTGAACTGTTTATGATACCAAAAAATTAGTTTTGTTTAAAAGGAAATGTTTTCAACTCCAAATCAATTCTAAAAACTTCGAGCACGTAATTGAAAGGTAAATGGTTAGATAAAAATATAAATTACATGTAAGGTTATCTGGTTTTTTTGTTTTTAAAAAAAAAGGCTACAAAATCAGTGACCTGCTAAGTAGAGGGAGTTTCTCCCTGCTGCTTCTTATGACAGTGGCCAGGTTTATGATTAGAAGACACAGTGGCAGAGCGCACACGTGCATAGGTTCTGATTATTTCTCTTGGAACGTATGTCCTTGTCTTCCCTGTCTTGATTCTTGCCTTTTCAATGCCATATTAAGCAGCCACTGTTTCCACCCCTTTCATTAGAAGGCCCTGCATCTGTAAATTCGCTCATCTCTGTTTTCGTGAGATCCTTGTAAGCATCGCTACCCCAGTTCAGGATGGAATTCCACAGGAAAGTGAAGGGATACTGCAGGCCTGTGTTTGGAGCGCCTGTAGTGACTATAGAATGAGCTGTATTAGGGACCGCTCTCTGGTTTGGGCCAAACCTTTTGGGGGCGAGTAGGGAGTCGGGGAGGTGGGTCTGAGTCTTCCTCAGGAGGGCCTTTTCTATCGGCAGGACCTCCATCAAGTCAAGCCATCCTGTGGTCCTGAGCACTAAGGGGCCAGGGGACCTCCTGGGAGACGCAGCTCGTGTTTCAGCTGCGTTTCATCAGTCAGCCTTGCTTGGAATTCTGGCAGGTTCCCTGGGGTGTTTCAGCAGACAGGAGGCCCATGTGCCGTGGCCAAGTCAGCCTGGGTACCCCAGTCACCAGCAGGGCCATCCTTGATGACAGGGCCCCCCACGAACCTGGGAGAGGCAGCAGGAAATGTGTAAGAGTGTGTGCAGGGGTACGGACGTAAAAGCGTTGCCCAAAACAGCACTGGTTCGGGGAGGGCCCCTGGATACTTCCTTTGACCCACACTGAAAACTGGAATCGCCCCACCTTTGAGCATAGAAACAAGCTCCTCCAACACGGGCCGAAATAACCAAACTCCCCGTGGTCCTTGTGTGCTCACTTCCCAGCCCTCTTCTTGTCAAGCCTGAACTTCATTTTTTTTCTAACTGCAAATTTAACAGGCTGGTTTAAAACAGCAGTTTTCGGACGACAGCCCCTGGGAATGTGCGAGGGTTCTCTTGTTTTGATCTGCATGTCTGTTTACACTTCTCTGTAGGCATGGGTTGAATACAAGGTTCCAAAACTTGAAAATAAAAGAGAAAACCATGAGCTTAAGAGATGAAAAAGATGACCCCTTTCTGAGTAGGATCCGTAACCCTGTGGACTGGGGCAACGCAATGTGCTTCCTTCAGCACCGTGTCAGCCGTAACACACACCACGGGGGGTCAGATCAGAGCCACGGCTTCCCTTGCGGGTGCCCCATCTTGTTGCTATTAGTTGGGAGTTGCAATTCCTTGTTGGCCATAAACAAAGTGCTAAAGGAAAGGGCTTGTTCTATGCATTCGGCTGAATGTCCCCCAGCACAGAGTAGCAGCAGAATGTTCTGGAAGTAAAGGAGATATTGCTAGGAATCTCTAGGCCGTTAGTCAGGCAACCTGGCTTTTATTCATCCTCAGCCAGCAACTCATCTCAGTTTTTTCCTCTGGAAAGGGGATTATAGTTCCTGTCCCCATCTCCCTTGAGGACACATTGTGAGGATTAATGATATATTGGCTCTAAAGTCCTTTGAGCTCCTGGGAACAGGTGGTGAAAGTGTGAGTTCTTGCTAAGGATGAGTCCCTGGCCTCTTCTGGAATGCTGCCCTCCCAGCTCTGCAAGGGATGCTGCCAAAATCCAGGCTGGTTGTAAACATCTCAGATAATCAGGGACCACCAGAGGCAAAGGCCATGAGACTGTCTTTGGAAAGGTTTGGAAATGGAGAAATAACTATAAGGGCCATTCTCCTTAGCTTCTGGCTGTCATTTCAACTGTTTCTAGATGCTTCCAAGAACAAGAACCCAGCATCAACCAGAATTAGGCCACGTTTTCACCATTACTTAAGCTCAGTTGCCTCTTAGATGAAATGAGGAGATACACTAAACATTAAAGTGATAAAGGAAAAAAAAAATTTGGAAGCAGAAAATTGCATGGGTAGGGAAACAGCAGGAACGAAATCAGACACAGTGACTCAAACCACAGAAGGGTTTGAGAAGCCCACCCCTCTAATTAATTCCTCTATTTCACACTTCAGAGAAGGCAGAGGTGGTCCGTGGGAAAGCTCTGGGAAATAACCATCTTTCATCCTTGCCACATTGAAAAATGTCCACAATTTTATGAATTGCTGTCCTAACTCTGGCGTTTTTATCCAGTGTTAAAATAAATTATTTCAAGTTTCAATGTAAACACTTAACAGATGACTTCTTTGCAGAGGAAATGTTCGTTACCTACTATCAAACTACTTTTTAACAGATTTTGTACATACACACACCAAGGTGACAGAGATTTACCTCCCTACTTTCTTAGATTTTATGTAACTCTTTTCATTGGTGCTTATTCAGAACCTGAAAGCCTTGGGCATCCAAGCTTTCACCTACTCAATGGAGGAGAGGTGATAATGAAGGAAAAGATTGACACCAGGTTTCTTGGACAAATTTAAGTTCAAATTTATCTCTTTCAAGTAGACCATGGTCTCCCTAGAGAGTGTTTTGGTTTGGGTCTGCCAGTACGACAAAGGATGCTCCCAGCTTGATCGTGGTACCTTATGGAAGCCACTCACCCATTCTCTGATTTACCCCCAAAACACTACCATGCCCCAGCCCCACTCATTTGAATAATACAATCATATCACTTTCAAAGGGCTCAGCATGAATGTCCCCCTCACTCCACTTTCTAACTGGTTTGCTGAACTCAACAAAGCTTCCCCTTACGAGCAGTGAGACCTAGTCTCCTTTTGAATGCTTCCTTCCGAACGGTGAGCCACTTCACTCTCGGACAGGACAGGTCCTCCCTGCAGAGACACAACTCATCCCTGACCTTCCATACTACAGACCAAAATACCCAGGTGTGGCCTAAGGACTACATTAAATGCCTCCTATAGAAATTCAAGGAATGTTAGAACCAGGAAACTAGCTGTTTAGTTAAAGTTTTAAAGAAGTATATAAATATATATATATAAAAATATAAATATGAAATCATATCGAGTGTGAGGATGAACAGAGTGCCAAATATTCAGCATCTGTACAAAGTCATTCACTGGAATTAAACTATTTTATGTAATTCTTTCTCATGCTTTTATGGTTCTTTTGATAAATTCTATTTAGTAGCATGCAGGATACCTAATCTGAATGTGCAATATGCTATTCATCACCGCGACAATTTCTTACTTCTTCTTAGTAACTTATCAGAATGTTGGTCGTTCCTTTAAGGCATTTAAGGATTGCTTTATTTGTGTTCTTTTTTCCCATGACTTTTTTTCACTCATCTGACTGTAAGAAATGCGCACCGTTTCCGCCATAACCCTCTGTGATGATGCCTCCATTTGACTTCTGTATCGCTGTTCACCTCCTGTAAATAGTTCTGCAATTAAATTTTTTGAGAAAAGTAATGTTTACTTTTTTATTGGAGTGAATTCTCGTGTTATTTTAATCTCAGAAAAATTATATAGACCAAAGAGTTTTATCCGAAAAGAAATTACACTCTTCCTCCATTATATATTTCATTGTTGAAATACCCTCAATTTCTCTATATTTTAAGAAGTAATGGACATTTATTAAGGCTACAGATTTAATATGTATGCAAAAATGGTATAGATTAAATGAGTTTTTAATTAATAAATCCTACAGTATTTAGTTAATGGTTGTTTTACGCTCTTTTGAGTTGCATTGAAAAGAGACGCACATTAGCTCCCTGGACCTCACAGATCCAGGCGTCAGTGAGACGGTGGGATGTGGACATGGTGACGAAACTCCAGGAGGACAAGTGGGTTCCACTGAGCCTGCAGCTGCCAGGAAGCAGTGAGAGCCAGTCCATCCAGGGAGGTGGACCAGTCCGGGGAGGGGACCAGTCCGGGGAGGGGACAACTCCAGGAGGTAGACCAGTGCGGGAGGTAAACCAGTGCGGGAGGTAGACTGGTTAGAGAAGGTGGACCAGTCTGAGGAGGGGACCAGCCTGGGGAGGTGGACCAGTCGGGGAAGTGGACCAGGCCAAGGAGGTGACCAGTCGGGGAGGTGATCAGTCGGGGAGGCGGACCAGGCCGGGGAGGTGGACCGGGCTGGAGAGGTGGACCAATCCAGGGAAGTGACTGGTCCAGGGAAGTGACCAGTCCGAGAGGTGGACCAGTCCGGGAAGAGGGACCGGGCCGGGGAGGTGACCAGTCCGGGAGGTGGACCTGGCTGGGGAGGTGACCAGACCAGGGAGGTGGACCAGTCTGGGGAGGGGGACCTGGCCGGGGAGGGGGACCTGGCCAGGGAGGGGGACCTGGCCAGGGAGGGGGACCACACGTTACCACTCTGAGCAATTGCTCCCTGCCTTCCACCTCCTTGATCAGCTGCACTTTTTCTCTTGCCTGTGACCAGCTAGTCTCACTCCCATCGGTGAAGTCCTGCTGCCTTATGTCTCTGCGCCTTCTTTCTATGCACTCCTATGCCTGGATACTCTGAGTAGTGCCCTCCCGTCTCCCCAAGGGCACAGTGCAGCTCCTGAGGATGACCTTCCCCCAGTGCACATCAGGACTGTGTTTCATGCATTGGTTTTCCTGTCTTTCCTTTACGGTATTTCTTTTCATGATACACTTATAACCAGCAAATGCAAAGCTTTATATAGTTTTCTTTTTTAATGCCATAGCCCTTCAATAAATATTTTAATTTACTTGGCCTTTCATTTGAAACTTTATACCTTCATCCTCATGTGGTCAAACATTTTCCCAGAAGTCAGTAAAAGTACAAATAAATTAATATGGAATTCATTTTAAATTATAACAAGATAATTTATAGAACCTTTTAATTAAAAACCAAGGGACCAGTGCATGAGAACTTCTGGTTTCTCATAAAGCATTCTATCCTCACAACAAGAAAAAGTGGAGCAAGCTGAAAATCAGCAATTCTTTGTAGATTCTTATCAGAATGAATGTCACAGGCAAACAGCTCCCCCAGAAGGGCAGAGGCCGACACAGAGACTCCCAACCCACTGAGCAGATGCCCAGGTACAGACGCCTCCGTGAGGACCCAGGCTGGGCTGGGGAAGCCTGACCTGCAGCTGACAAACCCAGAAGCTCAACATGGACAAAGCTGAGGGCTGAAAACTCGAGGGGGCCCAGTCTTAGGATGCCCCTCACACTTTGTGAGCTTTACCCCCAGGAACCCCCCTAGGTTCTCAGGGTGTAGATCAGAGAAAAACGCCCTTGTGTTTCCAGCAGGTGGGGAGAAAGTAGCCATTCTGAAATATGCCCAGAGCATCTGTTCACCTGACAAAAGGCCCTCCAGTGAAAGAATCCTACCAAAGCCTAACAAACAGACTTAGGGTTTGCCAGAGTCTGACGTATCTAGGGGAAGCCCCCTCTAGCCATCCTAAGGCAGGGGTGGGGAGGAGGGACTGAGAAGGATTTATGAAGATCAGACCTCAGGGCACAGGCTTACTGAAAGACTGAGACCCAATCATAGGATAAGAGAAAGCTTCCCCTCCCCTCACACCTTACCATTCCATCAATAGCACTTCTGTATTTAAAAGGGGGGAGGCCGGGTATGGTGGCTCGCACCTGTGATCCCAGCACTTTGGGAGGCCAAGGTGAGAGGATCACTTGAGCACAGGATTTTTTAAAAAAGAGACCCAACAACATGCTGTTGACCAGAAAAGCGTTTTAAATATGAAGAAACGGATTAAAAGTGGCACCGTGGAGCAGTGCATACTGTGCTGACACCAATCCAAAGAAAGCTGCAGGTACTACATCAACACCAAACAGGGCACCCTTCAGACAAGGAGTCTCCTCCGGGACACAGAAGGACATGACATGATAAAGAGGCCAGTTCTCCACAAAGGTGTGACAGTGCTCAACGTACCTGTGCCCAAAAACAGTATCAAGTGACACAAAAACAGCAGAACTACAAAGAAAGAAATCCACTGTGACGGTTAGAGAGCTCAGCACCTGTCTACCAGTAACCGACAGATCCAGCCAGCAGAAAATCAGGAAGGACATAGCTGACCTCAACAGCACCCCTGGTTACCTAGCTATAATGAATGCCTAACACCCTACTTCATCCAGCTACAGCAGAACACACATGCTTCCCAAGCTACACTCTGGGCTACGAAACACACCTTAACAAATGTAAAAGAATAAAAAGAATAGAGTCACACAATGTATGCACTCTCAATTCCACAACGGAGTTAAACTAGAAATCAGTAACAGAAAGAGAGTTGGAAAATCCCAAAACATGTGGAGATTAAGCAATGCACTTCTAATAACACACGGATCTACAAAGAAGTCTCAAAAGAAATTTAAAAATATTTAAACGGAATGAAAATAACAACACAATATATGTAAATTTGTGAGATACAGCAAAAGTAGTACCTGGAAAAAATTCTAGTGTTCAATGCCTGTATTAGAAAAGAATGATCTAAAACCAATCATTTAGATTTCCACCTTAGGAGGCGGTTAGACCCAAAGTAAGCACAGGAATAGAAATAAAAATTAAAGCAGAAATTAATAAAATTGAAAATAGGAAATAGAGAAAAATAATGTAATCAAAAGCCAGTGTTTTGAAAAGATCAATAAAATTGATAAGCCGCTAACCAAGCTAAGCAAGAAAAGAAAGAGAGATGACATAATTTACTAATACTAGAAATGAAAGAAAAAGCATTACTACAGATCCATGAACATCAAAAGGATAACAAAATAAAATCATAGGGCCAGATGTGGAGGCTGACACCTGTGATCCCAGCACTCTCGAAGACTGGGGCAGGAGGATTGCTTGAGTCCAGGAGTTTGAGACCAACTTATGTAACACAGTGAGACTCCATCTCTACAAATTTTTTTTTTTTTAATTAGCCTGGTGGGGACTCACTGGCAAGATGGCTGAACAGGAACAGCTCTGGTCTGCAGCTCCCAGCAAGTTTGACGCAGAAGGCGAGTGATTTCTGCATTTCCAACTGAGGTACCCAGTTCATCTCACTGGGACTGGCTGGACAGTGGGTGCAGCCCGTGGAGGGCGAGCTGAAGCAGGGTGGGGCGTCACCTCACCCAGGAAGCGCAAGGGGTCGGGGAATTCTCTACCTACCTAAGGGAAGCCATGAGGAACTGTGCTGTGAGAAACGGTGCACTCTGGCCCAGATACTGCTCTTTTCCCACGGTCTTTGCAACCTGCAGACCAGGAGGTTCGCTCCAATGCCTACGCCACCAGGGCCCTGGGTTTCAAGCACAAAACTGGGCAGACACTGATCTAGCTGCAGGAGTTTCTTTTTTTGTTTTGTTTTGTTTTTTGTTTTTTTCCATACCCCAGTGGCACCCGGAAAGCCAGTGAGACAGAACCGTTCGCTCTCCTGGAAAAGGGGCTAAAGCCAGGGAGCCAAGTGGTCTGGCTCGGCAGGCCCCACCCCCAAGGAGCCCAGCAAGCTACGATCCACTGGCTTGAACTTCTTGCTGCCAGCACAGCAGTGAGGTCGACCTGAAATGATCGAGCTTGGTGAGGCTTGAGTAGGCAGTTTTACCCTCACAGTGTAGCAAATCCTCTGTGAAGTTCAAACTGGGCAAGCCCATTGCAGCTCCGCAAAGCCACTGTGGCCAGACTGCCTCTCTAGATTCCTCCTCTCTGGGCAGGGCATCGCTGAAAAAAAGGCAGCAGCCCCAGTCAGGGGCTTATAGATAAAACCCCCATCTCACTGGGACAGAGCACCTGGGGGAAAGGACGGCTTTGGGTGCAGCTTCTGCAGACTTCAACGTCCATGCCTGGTGGCTCTGAAGAGAGCAGTGGATCTCCCAGCACAGCATTCAAGTTCTGCTAAGGGTCAGACTGCCTCCTTAAGTGGGTCCCTGACCCTCATGTATCCTGACTGGGAGAAACCTCCCAGTAGAGGCCAACAGACGCCTCATACAGGAGAGCTCTGGCTGGCATCTGGTGGGTGCTCCTCTGTGGTGAAGCTTCCAAAGGAAGGAACAGGCAGCAATCTTTGCTGTTCTGCAGCCTCGGCTGGTGATACCCAGGCAAATAGGGTCTGGAGTGGACCCCCAGCAAACTCCAGCAGACCTGCAGCAGAGTCCTGTTAGAAGGAAAACTAACAAACAGAAAGCAATAGCATCAACAGCAACAAAAAGGACGTCCACACCAAAACTCCAGCGGAAGGTTATCACCATCAAAGACCAAACATAGATAAATCCACGAAGATGGGAAGAAACCAGCGCAAAAAGGCTGAAAATTCCAAAGACCAGAGTACTTCTTCTCCTCCAAAGGATCACAACTCCTCACCAGCAAGGGAATAAAACTGGACAGAGAATGAGTTTGACGAATTGACAGAGGTAGGCTTCAGAAGGTGGGTAATAACAAACTCCTCCGAGCTAAAGGAGCATGTTCTAACCCAATGCAAGGAAGCTAAGAACTTTGAAAAAAGGTTAGAGGA